AGGTGCAGTCCATCTGCTTTCCTTTTCCAGTCACTGAATTTGGAAGATTCAGATACTGCCTTGGACTCCTTTCCTTGATTTTATTTTATTTTTTCTGGTTGAAATGAGCAAAGCAATATGTTTTTTTAGAATGGAAAGCTTTCACTAACTGAAGCCAAAATTACTTCTTTCAAATCACAGTGCAAGTTGCCTGCATTTTGTATCATACTTACTATTAAAGTTAGGGTATGTGTCTACTTAGGGTAATTTTGCTTTTAAGATGAATCAAGATAATGCCTTGTTTCTAATGTTTTAAAAAATTCTTCACAGCAAGAAGGAACTTTGCTGATTTTAGAACACAAGCAGTGAGGGCAGAACAGTAGAAATCAGTCAGTTCAGTAACCCTAAGACAAAGCTTCTAGTGCAAGGGAAGTCAAGTCCACGCCGAGTGTTCCCTGACGTGCCACAGGCGCCAGCACGCCGTACCTTCTGAGGACGCCGTCGTGAGGACGTCGTCTCCTTCCCCAGGTAGACGGAGGGCCTTGCGGGGAGGCCTGTGAAGCCTGTTCTCAGCTGCAAGGTGAGACCTCACATCAGACGGTCAGGGACCCAGACCCTTCATTCCACACTTAGGAAAAACGCTTTAAAAGCAAGTGACCTTGGTAAAGCTAACACCTCAGCTGCCGTTTTGCACAACTTGAGAACACAGCTGAAACTGTGCGTGTGGTGGCACTGTTCAGATTTATTAAAAAGCATAAAAGATGGTAGACACCAGTAGAAGACACAGATGAAATACAGATGTCCAGATCTTGACAGCAAAATGTTTGTTGGATGAGCCCACAAGTGCTGATAACAGAAAGCCCAGATACCTTAAAGAAATTGGAAACACATCACAGAATGGGAGCAGATATGTGGAACACATAATTAAGAAAGGATTTTTACCTATAAAGCAAAGAATTGTTATTAATCAATATGAAAAGGACTAATAAAGACACTTAAGATGTCCAAAAGCAGTGGCACATACTTCACAGAGAAGGAAACACGTGGTTAGCAGACGTATGAAGAGGCCTCCGTGTCACCAGTGATTGGGAAATGCAAACCGCGACCACGAGGAGATGCCAGTCTCCTCCCCTTCAAGCCCAAGACGGGAAGGGCTGACGGCGGCCATGCTGGTGGCAGGAAAACGCGCAGCTCAGCGGGGCTGCACCCACGGCTGGTGCGGGTGCAGGCAGGACTCTGGCTTTGGAGGCAGCTTGTCCTGTTGGTTGGAACATCAGTGGTTCCTTGCACGTTGCACACAAGACATGCGTAGGAATGCTTCACGTGATAGCAAAAATCTGGAAACAGCCCAGTGACTGCCAACAGGAAAAGGATCAATTGTCACATATTCAAACAATGAATTATTTTTGTACCTCAAATTAGGAACCATAGCTACATGCAACCATAGGTATGAATTTGAGCGATTCGATTTTGAGTGCTAGATGAAAATCCCCGAAGGATAATAAAAGTCACTAAAACTGCAGCCACATGATTTTCAGGAACGTGTGTATGGGACAGAAATACGTGGAAAGAAAGGCACGAGACACAAGTCAGCAGCAGTTAAAGAGCGGAGTGGATGGGAGCTGCTAAGACAGGGGGCTTTTACAAAGTCCTGGCTTTTATTCTGGGTAGTGCTTTTACAGGTGTTTGCTAAACTGTAAAGTAAATTAGTTGTTAAAAGGAGGCTTTGCGTAAACAATAATGAGAGTATGTTAGAAACTGGTTTCAATTAGAAGAAAATAAATAGGAAAAAATCGGCATGTGATTGAAGTCCTCAAGCAGAGGAAAGTCCATCAAAAAGTGGGAGAACAGTGAAAAACAGAAACATGTAGGAGGGAGAGTCTGAGGTGAGTATAAATTCGGCTCTATTGCTTCACTGAAGACCAGCCCGATGAGGATGCTCGCGCTGGTCAAATTCCAGGGAAGCTGTTTCCCTGAACAACTTCATCTTCTCCTGGGGGGACTTGAGGCTGCAGCCTCCACCCGCGAGGCTGTGTGCTCTCTTCCTCCTGGCCAGGGGTGGGGGAGGCCACAGAGTCCTCCCAGAGCTTGAGGGCTTGCGTCTTGGCTGCTTGCCTGAGATGTACTTTAAAGGGACAAGGAAATGGTATTTTCACAACTGTTTCCTGGAAACTTTTATAAGGTAATAAATCAGCAGGAAAGGTCACTGACCTGCTCTTTCATACTCCTTCTGTAATGAACATGAGTCTCCATTAATATTTCCTGTGAAATTTTTAGCCTAAACATGATTCTATCAATTATCTTACAGAGAAATGAGCTGTGTCACTAACAATTGTCGTCCCAATGTTAATTTTTTCTGCTTGGCTTTTAAGTTTATAAAACCTGTATCATCTTATTTGGAAAAACAAATCCTATGAAATAGGGCCTGAAAAAATAATTTCCTTTTAACAGACGAAACAACTGAATTTAGAGCAGTTTAACGCACAGGCCCAGGCTGGGACTCTCAGCCTCCTCGCTCTGGTGTTTTCTTCACAGCGCTAATGCAAACAGTGAGCCTCTCGTCTGCCAACCCCTGTCTCCGTGCAGAAATGTCAGTGCCACCGGGATCTCTCTTGTCCTGGCCTGGCAGGCAGTCGGTGCTCAGCTGGTTGGTTGAAGACTGGCAGGCGCTTCCCTCCCACAAGGGAACGAGGAGGCTGAGCAGGGCTTTCTACGTCCTTCTGGCTCTCAGACTTAAAATGCACCAGGGATGACCGTGCAGTCCAACAAGCAAACGCTTCCCATTACTGTAAAAGTGAATTGCAAAATTGTATGTATACTATGATTACTTTTTTTTGCACAAAATGTACAAATAAAAAAGAATGTAAGGAAATTTATCCAAATGGTTTTTTTAGCCATGCCCAGTGGTGAGATTAGGGGTAAGAATTTCCGCCTTTACTTTTACCAGCTACCCTAACTGAGGCAGCAGTGTGCTGAGTCCCTGTCAAGTTTGCCAAGGTGATGCAGTGCTGTCTGGTCTGTTTCTCCTCCCTCTGGGGAGGTGTGGGCTTGGCTGAGGCTGGACGCCTGGAACCAGCCCCTCGGCCCCAGCCCTGCCTCGCCGACTCTGTGAGCTGACGTGTCCTGCCCTGTCCTTGGGCACCTTCCCTGGCCATCCTGCAGTCCATCCTGGTCCTTCATGTCTCGGCTCCCGGGACCTCTCCAGGAAAAGCCTCCTGCCTTCAGGGTGAAATCAAGGTCGTCTCAGTGTTACTGTTACAGCTTGTAGGGGCCTGTTTGCCTGTTTGCTCCCCCAGGGACAGAATGAGAGAACTGTGTTTGTCCTAGAATCCTGGTCCCAGCACAGAAGCCCAGTGTGTGGGCGCTGGATATGTGGACCCAGAGAGAAGGGACACGTCCTGGGTGCCTGAGCTCTTGCCGCGTGTTTCAGGACAAGTCATGGACCCACTGGGGGACACACTCCCTCATCTGCAGTTGAGAACGCTGGACTCTGATGCACGAGGTAGACTTTTATCCTTTCTCCTCTTTCCCTCCTGTCCCTCCCTCCTTCCTTTTCCCTCCTTCTTTCATCAGTTATTGCAGCTTCTGCCATCCGGGTGCCAGGGAAGGAGCGGCCCTGGGCACTCGTCCCACGTGATCTGGAGCTGAGAGTCTGCTGGCCTTGCCCGCAGCTCCTTCACCCACTCTCAGGGCTTACTGCCTCGGAGCCCCTAAAATGTTGTTGATATAAGCCATTTATTATTTGTCATTTAGGCCTAAGAGACAGTGGACCTCTTGCTTTGTGTGGGGGGTGGGGAATGCCTAGTTCTGGGTCCGCTTGGGGCAGGGTTGAGTCTGGGACCGTGGTCCTCGAGGCACCAGGCTGGGACCAGGCTGGGTCTCCAGGGAAGGAACCGCGTGCTGTCCTCCTGGAGCCCATGCATCTGTTTCCAGGGGAGGGACTGTTTTCCCAGTGAGCGGCTAAGGGTCCTGACAATGGGGTGTGTCTGTCATCCCCTTGGTGCGTGTAAAATGAGAGGCCTGGCCTGTCTGCCCTACGTGTGTACTTCTGTCGGTAATTTCACTTGAAGACCCTGTGTGCATGAAACTCCTTTTCAAAGAGACCTTTTCAGGGTCCACCGCAAGGGAGCCCCGGGGGCGTCCACACAAGGGGCCGTGTCTGCCCTGGGTGGGGAGGGCAGAATCAGAGACAAGCCTTCAGAAACCGTACAGCAATGCGGCCCCTCCCCACCACCCCGGGTGCCATCAGGGCCCCTGCCTTGGTGGCCAGGCAGACACTGGCCTGGGGGTGCAGGTCCACATCACCCCCTGTGGCATCTCAGATGAGTGTCGACCCCGAAGAGAGTGACTCTGCTTTTCTGGCGTGTGCAGCTGGTGCTCCATTCTGTACGAAGTTAAAAGCAATGTTCTAGGCCTGCTGAAATGATTTAACACTTCCTATGCCACCAACAGCCCTCTGTCAGGTGGTTTCTCTAAGCTTCTGAAGACTGGAGGTGGCAGCAGCTGGGTGTTCATTACCCGTCACGTGCGTCCTGACATCTCTCCCACTTAGACGAGATGGACAAGGCAAGCATCTCTTGTCACGTCAGAGGCTTTACATGCTGGCATCCACAGTGTCCTTTCAGAGCATGCACGCAGGCATTGCCTTTCCATAAGTTTTTGTTTACTTATGACTGCAAAACAGCAAAGAGTCACACGTGTACAGGCATGTGCACTTCCCAGTGAACTACTTGTGTGTTTTTGGTAATCTGTCCACACTGTACTTGCTCTGATTTACTGAAATGTGATTTTGTCTTTTAAATCTAATAAAAACCGGGCTCACTTTGGTACATCTTTTAAAATTTTTTTCTAGAAATTCATTTCTATTGTCTTGTAAATTTACTGGTCTGTAATGGCTTGGAGATTATGAACACAATCAAGTCTTCTCCAGAGATGGTTGGGAAGCCTCCACTGTGAGCTCTGAGCCCCAGGCCAACAGTCCCCAAGAGGCGAACAGGTCCACAGTCAGGGCTCTCAACGTAAGACTTACAAACTTGGAAAATACCCTTCAGTGCCAGTGAGGGAGCCAGGCCTGGTATCTAGTAGTTTAGTCATAAAACGATGAAGGACATTCCAGTTTATCAGAGCCCAACAGTTCAGGACTTTACAGGAATGGGGCTTTATTTTACTTTTGAGAGAGAAGCAGATGGC